GGATACTTAGGGATATAGGCACTCCTGGAGATACTCAGTGATATAGGTACCCCTATGGATACTCAGTGATATAGATACCCCTATGGATACTTAGTGATATAGGTACCCCTATGGATACTCAGTGATATAGATACCTCAGTGATATAGATACCCCTCAAGTATATGGATACTCAGTGATATAGGTACCCCCATGGATACTCAGTGACATAGGAACCCGTGGAGATACTCAGTGATATAGGTACCTTTTATGGATACTTAGTGATATGGGTACCCTACGGATACTCAGTGACATAGGAACCCTTGGAGATACTCAGTGATATGGGTACCCTTAAGGATACTTAGGGATATAGGCACTCCTGGAGATACTCAGTGATATAGGTACCCCTATGGATACTCAGTGATATAGATACCCCTATGGATACTAGTGATATTGGTACCCCTTTGGATACTTAGTGATATAGGTACCCCCATGGATACTCAGTGACATAGGAACCCGTGGAGATACTCAGTGATATAGGTACCTTTTATGGATACTTAGTGATATGGGTACCCTTAAGGATACTTAGGGATATAGGTACTCCTGGATATACTCAGTGATATAGGTACCCCTATGGATACTCAGTGATATAGGTACCCCTTTGGATACTTAGTGATGTAGGTACCTTTTATGAATACTCAGTGATATAGGTAGTCTTTGGGATACTTAGTTATATAAGTACCTTTTATATGGATGCTCAGTAGATGGGTACCCCAATGGATACTGACTGATATAGGTACCCCTTTGGATACTGAGTGATATAGGTACCCCTTTGGATACTTGGTGATATAGGTACCCCTTATGGATACTGTAGTTAAATTCACTGCCTGACGAGTGAATTCCACGTTAAATTTCACGCCAAAACCGATATCGCACGAATCGCGAAATTTGATGTGGAATTCACGAGTCAGGCAGTGAATTTTTCTTGAATCGCATAACTGACTAAAAATAAGAAAACAAGAAATTAAAACGGCAATATTAGTGTTTGTTTTTATCCCGTACGCGCGCCCTTAAGAAAGCCATTTTAAAGTCAACTGTCAGAACGGTCATTGTTATAAAGGGAATGGAAGGCAAAGTAAGTCGCTCACGTTTGAAACGTCGACAATTTTATTTGTACCTCGTCAATTCTTCTTGAATCGCATAGCTAAAGCCTCCAAATCACTGGGCGAAACCAGATGTTTTGTATTTTCGTGCGCCACGCCAGTGCGCAAACAATGGAAACCCTTTCAAAGTCAGGTGTCAATATCTAGCAAATAGAGGGAACAAGATATTTTTAAAGTGAAAACCATTTTTATTTCAAACTCGTGGAGAAAGCAGTGCCCAACGTTTTACAATCTTCAGCAAAACTGAAAGTAAAAAATACGGAGTTATTTAAGACAGAAATTTGCCTGCTACCACTCAACTTGGCAAAATGTGGCGCCGACAATCAACAACTGAATGGTCAAATCCTCAAGCGAAATGAAAATTTCAAGCGTTCCTGTATCAAAGCAAGATCTACAAAAAAACCGGTAAGTGCTTTACAGTAATAAATAAAGTGTATTCAAAATATAATGATTAAGACTGGAATTTCTCGGTAAACTCTGAGGAAAAACAGTTCAAAAAAGGTTAAAAGTCACAATTTAAACGGTTTTTCTTTCATTGCAGGGAGTAGCTTGTTAGTGTCAATGCTGGACTGAAAGTTTATGGAAATATTTACTGGAGAATTATTAAAAGTTACTCCAGTAAACATTCCGCCAACTGCTCCTGCCATCAGGTAACTAGAACGACTGGCATTGCTGTCAAGGTCACTAGTAGCTGCTGTGTTGCTTGGCGTGGCTGAGCTATTGAGAACAATCTCCCGTAAAGCATGACTTGAATAGCCGTTGGTAGTTGTCGTGCTTGGCGTGGGTTGAAACCGGCCAACTTATTCGACATTCGCCGCTGTTTTTCCAGAGGATTATGGCTGTAGCTGGATATGGATTCCGGATTGGAGTGGCCAGTGAGCTCTGATATCTCCACTGGGTCGAAATCATCACTGAGCGCTTGGATGACAGTTTTGCGACCACTCGAATTTGTGAATTTGCCGTCTAGTGTTTTTTGAAACCATGTTGTATCTAAAAGAGGCCAGTTCGTCGTCTGTATAGGCTACAATGGTTTGGATTTCGGGAAAAGATGCTTGACCTTTTTCGGCATTGATACCTGTTTTGGTTTTCTTTCGTAACGCTTGTTTGGTTTTCCTCGGCGAGAACTGTCGTTTGGCTTTCTTCCCTCGTCTCTGGCATTTTGATTTTTTTCTATGCGTTTTCTCGTACTTTTGAGCGTGAGTGGTTTCCTCCAATTTTCTAAAAATTTCAATTTCAATTCAAAATTTGGAAGACATTCGTTTTCTATAAATTTGTTCATATTTGTTCATATTTTCGTTCGAGATCAACATAAATG